TGTCCCCAAGCCATGTTATGACCTTCCCCCTATTACTCATTATGGCTTCTCACGTCGTCATGCAACCTAGGTCCTCTTCACTCAAATTTCTCCCCATATTAAGCTACAGCACTTCCATGCCCACTATACCATATACAGAAGTACTGAACCAAACAGCAGCAATGAAATGTGTGAGACAAGCTTTTTGTAAAAAGTCACTCGTTCATTACTTTCCACAGTATCAATAGCAGAACCTCCAAGCACTTGTAACCTTGTGTAAGTAACAAATATTATTTAAATGGAGAGAGACTGCAAAAATCAGCCACACAGAGAAGATAAGAGTCCTCATGCATGAATGACAAAAAGTTAGCACCCGAGTTTAGTTTGTCATAGGAAAGGCAATTGGAATGTTGATCTTTATTTCAAAGAGAATGCTATACAAAAATAGGAAAGTTGTTAAAACTATACAAGAACCTAGTCATACGACACCTTGAATACTGTGAACAGTTTTGGTCCCCTTATTGAAGGAAATATATACTGACATGGGTGGCAGTCCAGAGAAGGTTGGGCGTGGAGGGATTTTCTTAAAAGGAGTTTTATCAAATTGGGCTTGTACTCACTGGAGTTTAGTAGAATGAGAGGAGATCTTATTAAAACATATGGATTTCTTAGGGGATTTGACAGGTACATGTGGAGAGGTTGTTTCCCTTTGTGGGAAAGTCTAGGACCAGACAGCACAATCTCAGTTACGAAGAAGAATTTCTCTATCAGAGGATGGCGAATCTGTGGAATTCTTTACTGAAGACGGCTGTTGAGGCTACGTCAAGTATACTCAAGGCTAAAACAGATCTTTAATCAGCAAGAAAATCAAGGGCTATGTGGAAAAGGTAGGAAAATGAAGCTGAAGACTATCAGATCAAGCCACTATACAATGTATAGAAGCAATGAACCCTGTAGCAATAATAGGATGTGTAAAGAAAGTTTTATTTAATAAAAACAATTCATTCACTGCTTTCTACTTTCTGCAAGCCAATAAAAGGGTCTCAATCATCCAGACACCCTAGTATCAATACCAGAAGTGAGGCTTGGCTGAGAGCCCAAATAATCATTAGAGTGCTAAAATAGGGGAGACCCAAAGAAAACACTGCTTGATTAACAGCTCTGGCTTTCTGTTCCATCTTGTCAATTGTGTAATATTTATTCAGACCATATGACCAGACCAAGGAGTAGAAGTAGGTCATTCAGCTCAGCCAGTCTGTTCTGTGATTCTAGATGTTCATCTTCTCAATGCCATTTTCCTACACCATCTCCATATCCCCAATGTCAATAATCACCAGAAACCTATCAATTTCTGTCCTGAATCTACTCAATGATCCAGTTTTCATAGCCCTCTACAGTAGAGCACTGGTTCCCAACCTTTACAGCATGAAGGCACAAGCTGCATAACCAAGTGGATTTCCCGTCTCCTAAACATGCATGGTGACAAACTTCAACAGATGCTGCCTTCAAAAATAGATACCGAGGCTCCAGAGGAGATCGGTAGCACAAATAAAGATTTTGCAGCACAATTCTCACCTTGGTGGCTGGTTAAAAACAACTGCATTAGAGAATGCCAAGGATTCACCATTCTCGGAGAGAAGAAATTCCTCCTCCTCAGACTTAAAAGAGGTCAATGGTGACAGGATGTGATGGGAGAGGGCTGGAGTTCCTTTTTGTTTTTATTATAACCAAAAAGGAGAAATTCAACAGCACTGATAAAGACAGCCCACAACAACAGCAAGTGCTCCATTTGCTGTCTTCAACCTCTTTCCCAGGTTGGCTGCCCTGACTGCAGACTACTTCCACCCTCCAGGAACAAAGCCACTTTCTCCTGAAGCGAAGGCACAAAGCCGGGAATTCACCTAACTCCCATTAACCACCTCAAAGATGAAAACTCATTCTTTTGTGTCTATTGCATGATGAATCGAGGGTCTAGAATTAATGAGCTTAAAGAAGTCAGTGTAAAAAAACTTGAGTGGATAAATTAATGAACGTCAGTGGCAACCAATCCCATGGACCTGAAGATCTGTATCCTATGATTCAAAGCAAAAACGTCACAACCAAAAAACTGGATACATTGCTTTTGATCTTTCAGAATTTTTTAGGTTTTAGAAGAATTTCCAAGAATTGGAAGGCAGCAAACATAACCCTATTATTTACAAATGAGTGAAGACAGGAAACGGGGTTCAGTACGTCAGTGAATGTAACATCATTACTGGGACAATTCAATTTCAAATAAACTTTGGCACTCAGAAAATTGGAATATAATTAAGCAGTCAACATCAATTTATGAGCAATAAATTTAATTTGACAAATCTGAGGAGAGTTTTTTGAAGATGTATCTAGCAGGGTGGATAAAAGAGAATCAGTGGATGTAATGTATTCAGATTTTCGAAAGCAAACTTTAATAAGAGTTCATTAGACTGATTTTTGGGTGGGGGAATTTGTCTAATGAGGCGAAATTGAGGAGACTAGGTCTATATTCGCTCGACTTTAGAAGACTGAGAAATGGTTTAACTAAAACAAATATAATTAAAAACAGCTTGACAGGATAGATTCTGAGAAAATGCACCCTGTGACAGAGGCATTTAAAACACAAGGGGCAAAATTGTTATGTCTGAGATGGAGTTCTTACCATTAGAAGCAAAAACAGGATGGCTCCATTAGCCAGCAGCAGGAAATACAAACGCATTTTGCTAGCAGTAGCCATGTATTAAGTGGGGTGGCCCACACCAAGAACTGCTGACCAAATCAAAGGACCTCAGTTCAGTAGCCCCACCACTGGTTATGGTCATTGCTGGGGATACACCTGAAAGGATAAGGGCATAACAAAAGCTGCTGCCCTCAAGGAGGAGTAAATGAGTTTGGTATTGTTGAGAGGACAGAATGTGTCCTTCCCACAGGGGTGACCAATGCTGCTGGTGCCCTTCTGTGAAGCAAAGAATTTCCAAGAACAGGAGATCTCTCCCCGCTCAGAGTCCCCTCAAACCCCATGAAGCTAGGAAAGTGCCATTTTAAATGGCTCAGTTGGGGTAAGTGGCTTGTCTGCTGGCTTTCTGCTGCTGGCAAAATGTCACAGCAGTAGGAAAACATCAGGTATACCACACGATGCCTTCCTAAGCATTTTGCCAGCCTTCCTGCTTTCCAACCTACCCCAAGGGGCTGATGAAACTCAGTCTCAGAATAAGCATTGCTCATTTAGCCCCGAGATGAAAAGAAATTTCTTCATTCAAAGGCTTGTGAACTTTTGGAACTCTCTTCCCAGTGAGCTGTGGCTATTCAGTTAGTGAATATCAAGACAGGTACATAGATATTTGTATTTTAGGGGAGGCAAAAGATCTGAGGAGAGTGCAGGCAACCAGAATTAGTTTTTAACATTAGCCACAAGCTTGCTGAATGTCAAACTACACAAAGGGCTCACTGGTCTACTCCTGCTTTTATTGCATTATTGGGATATTATGGGGCCTATGACAGGTATTCAATGAGAACACATAAAATAGGGCAATGACCAACCTATTGCCTTCCTGCCTATCCCTGAACCTTTCCTATAAAAATAAAGGTAGGAAAATACCAAAATCAGCACCTTCTGTGCCATCTTTAAAATGATAATTAACAGCAATTGAATTTCATAATAAAACGTACTTAATATTATGCTGCGTACATAATATGGTTGGCATGGGAAGATGAGTGGGTAGGTCTTTTTTTTAAAATTAGACTACTGAAAGATAAGGAGGAACGAGGCATATATACTTCAGGGGGTGCTTATGCGCATCAGCAGCACCCCCAAAGATGTTACCACACAACTCCCACACCCACCCCCCACTCCCTGCTTTTGTCACTTTTCACCTCATCGCTCCTGTCCGTAGCCATAAATCAGATTAGCCAGCAGATCACGAGGATAATATTTTCTTCCACTGAGGGGTGGAAGTCACATTCTCAACTAAGGCTACCTGCGTATGTTATTGGTACAGGATGACTTGTGTAATATGCATCAACTGACATCCAGCATTTCTTTCAGGGTTGGATGTTGTGAAACTAGAAAGGATTCAGAAATAAATTATGAGGATGTTGCCAGGGTGGAGAGTTTGAGCTACAGAGAGGCTGAATTGCTGGGGCTATTTTCCCTGAAGCGTCGGAGGTTTATATAGTCATGAGGGGCATGGATAAGGTAAATAGGCAAGGTCTTTTCCCCCGGCGCAGGGGAATCCAAAACAACAGGGCATTGGTTTAAGGTGAGACGTGAAAGATATAAGAGACACCCAAGGGGCAACTTTTTCACGCAGAGGGTGGTGCATGCATGAAATGAGCTGCCAGACAAAGTCGTGGAGGCTGGTACGATTAACAACACTTAAAAGGCATCTGGGCCAAACGGTGGCAAATAGAACTGGATTTATATAGGATAGCTGGTTGGCATGGACGAGTTGGACTGAAGGGTCTGTTTTCGTGCTGTATACCTTATTGACTCTGAGCTGGGGAAGGGAGCAGTACACTTTCCCCACCACCAGCCCTACTTTATAAAATGTAACTGTGTAAGACTTTATTGTCTGATATTGTTTCTAATTAAGAAAGATTATGCGATTGTGACAGAAAGTTGTTCTGCCTCTCGTAGCTGTGGTTTGTTCGACAGTATTGGTGATTAAGCAGCTCATCGACAGCTTTAAGTGTGAACATGAGAATGAATGCAGGTACACACTGCATGGTGTCAGTTTCTGCCTGGTGAAGTCACATTTCTGAAACATAGCTGACTGGGAAATACTGACATGCATTTAAAGGTTTAGTGCACAGAAAGTAGCCGAATTTAACAACTGTTCCTGACGGAGAGAAAACATGCCTATATATTCACACTCAAAATGTTATTTGCAGTGTATGCTAGGAGAGGGATGTGCACAGGCCATGTTTGTTAGTCAGTGCTGGCTTTTAGATCTTTATCATTTCTTTCTGTCTTTTCTATGTTATTGTGCACTGACAATATAATATCTAACCTCTTTCTGAATACCATGAACATAAAATGTCTTCCCATCGAATTTCAATTTGCTGACATCAGACCTGGAAAAAGAGAGAAAAAAAAAACTCATGAGGGGCATGAAAACAATGTAAAATTAATCAAATAAGTCACTCCCTACACATGGGAAGTGTGACAATATGATCAGTTTATTAGAAATATCAGCAGGTACTTAGAAGCTGAAAAAGAATATAGAAATAAGAGTAGGCTATTCACCACTTTCAGTCTGTTCAGTCCTTCGATTAACTTAGGTTGGATCGCTACCTTAATTCCATCTACACAGCCAGATACTATAAGTGTCAATACACGATCAAACAAACAAAAATCTATCAATCTCAGTTTTGAAATTTTCAATTAACCTAGCCACATCAGCTTTTGAAAAACAGTTGTAGATTTTCTCCATTTTTTGTGTGCAAACTATTATGATCCCTGAACTTAAATTTAAGATGATGGCCATTTGTTCTCTACCAGTAAATCAATTTCTCTCTCCCGTCTTCATCGAAGAGCACCTTAGTTCTGATATCCTTTTATTTCAGGACCCAGTTCCTATGGTCCCCAATGACAATCTTATCCTGTCTGAGTTCAATGGCCACGCAATCATTTACTACCAGTTTCCCAGGTCTGGAAACAGGCAGGGGGCAGTTAAAATTGGTCAACTTGCTGCTGTCCATCTTAGATGAGCACGCTGTTTGCTTCGGTGCTCAGGAACTAAAAGTGAGATCAACATTTCAAAAGTAGGAGAATCAGAGACCGCTTTGTGGAGCGCCTACGCTCAGTTTGCGACAAACGACAACACCTCCCAGTCGTGAACAACATGTCCAACATGGACCGCCTCCAGTGTCACAACAATGCCACCCGGAAACTGGAGGAACAGCACCTCATATTCCGCCTTGGAACCCTACAACCCAATGGTCTTAATGTGGGCTTTACGAGCTTCAAAATCTCCCCACCTCCGACCTCATCCCAAGACCAGCACCCCCTCTTGTCCCTGCCTCCTTGACCTGTCCGTCTTCCCTCCCACCTACCTGCTCCACTATCCACCTTCTATCACCCCCTCACCCTCTCTCTAGAAGGACCACCTTCTAGAGGTTTCTTGACAGCTGCACCAATTTACCAGTTAGCAGAAACAATGGGGGCACTTCACCCATCATGCCTGCCTAAGATAATCTGTGAACAAATTGCAAGGAACAATCCAGTCAGCACGGACTTCGAGACCTTTCCTCCTGCCCTGCACACTTTGTACCAATGGAAAGCCCAATTCTTATCATCAGAGTCCACTTTTGGACTACTGTGTGCAATTCTGGCCACCCTGCTATGGGAAAGATGTTGTGAAACTTGAACGGGTTCAGAAAAGATTTACGAGGATGCTGCCAGGGTTGGAGGGCCTGAGCTAATGGGAGAGGCTGAATAGGCTGGGGCTATTTTCCCTGGAGCATTGGAGGCTGAGGAGTGACCTTAGAGGTTTATAAAAGCATGAGGGGCATGGATAGGGTGAATAGCCAAGGTCTTTTCCCTGGGGTGGGGGATTCCAAAACTAAAGGGTATAGGTTTAAGGTAAGAGGGGAAAGATTTAAAAAGGGACCCAATGGGCATCTTTTTCATGCAGAGGGTGGTGCATGTATGGAATGAACTGCCAGAGGAAGTCGTGGAGACTGGCACAATTACAACATTTAAAAGTCATCTGGATGGGTACATGAATAGGAAGGGTTGAGGGGGATTTGGGCCAAATGCTGGCAAATGGGACTAGACTTATAGAGGATATCTGGTCAGCATAGACAAGTTGTACAGTTCTATGAATCTATGACTCTGTCATCTAGCCACCACCAATCCCACCATATTCAATAGCTTGCAGGAGGTTCACTCCTGAGATTTCTTCTTGTTGATGCAATCGTATGCATTGACACTGAAGCAAGAAATGGATACCATTACTACACACCATTTGCTCTGCCCACAATTATGCTTCATCTACAGTCTACTGACATTGCCCTTCCCTCAATGGGCCAACTTCCTCCCTCTATCCAGCACAATTTCCAAATCTAGGGGCAAGGCATCAGATTTGGGAAGAGGCAGTAAATCAAAGAATAGAAACAAGACAAGATAGAATGGCATTAATATGGGAAATGATAAAGACAGTAACAGAATGAATGAATTTGTAGATAAAACAAGAGGTTAGCAGAATAACAGAGACAAAACTAAAGGCTCTGTATCTGAATTCATATAACATTCAAAATATTACAGATGAAGTGCAATCTGACAGCCATTAGAGAGACATGCTGCAAGTGATGCGGACTAAGACCTGAATATTAAAAGGTATATCACTTTTTAGAAAGAACCCTCAACTGCAATCCTGAGCCTTTAACCCTGCAAATCCTTGCACCTTCCTTTTCTTTCCCTTCCTTAGTCAGTAACCACTGTCCCATTTATCTTAATCCACCATCTCCCTTTTTCTCTCTTGCCCTTGGTCAGCCATACCCTCTTCCTGTTAGGCTGTCACCTCCCTCCCCCCATTGGATAGCCATGTCCCATTGCTTTTTGACTGCCTCAAACTGATCTCAATAATTGCCTGCTGTTGGATGTTGCTCCCCACAGAATTAAAAGCAGCTGATGTTCACTCCAACAATTAGACTGCCTTCTTGCTGGCTACTTGCATGCAGTCATGAATCTGAAGGCATGTATATCTCATTCACAGATAACTCAACTGAATTGAGATACAATTAATTCTAGCAAGATTGCTATTTAATGAGCATGGATGACATGGCACTGCAATTTGTAGTCAAAATTCTGAGAACCCTTAATCCCCTAGTGTTATTCCAAAGTGAGGACAGTGATTTTTGGGCTTCCATAAAGATGCCCAAGCTTCCTGCTTCCAGGATTTTGCCTATCAACTATGCATCTCATTGTAGATGACACATGATGTGCTAAGCTTCTCCAGACTTATTGTTTTTAAATTGGTTATGATGTCTTCTGAATTCCTTGATTTAAAAAAAAACAGGTTATGGCTTCGAGATCAGTTATTATATCACAGTTTAAACATCACATGGTATAAACCACAATTACACATCAAAGCCAATTTTAATGCATCTCATCAGTATCAAACACAGCACAATGTCAGTCAGATACATGCTGTTTGCATTTAAATGTACATAAAATGCAAGATGAACATGAGCAAGTTTACCATTTTAGGAGATGAATCCTTTTATTCCCTTGGAACACAACAAAACCTGTGGCAGTGAATCCAATGAAAGTTGTAGCTCCTGAAGAATCCTTAAAATAAAAAGATAAACATTTAGAATGTTTATGCACTGCAGCCTAGAAATAGGCTTGTCAATTCTTAACATTTTTGTGGCACATATTTTAGCTTAGATGGTTTATAAATATTATATTGGAATCTTCCCAATTATACCATCCTGATCAAACAGCCATTCAATGAAGATGGAGAGAGAGAGAGAGAGAGAGAGAGAGAGAGAGAGAGAGAGAGAGAGAGAGAGAG